GTGATGTGTGGGTTCTGCTTAAGAAGTGGCACCCTCAGAGACACCGTCATCGAGAGAAGGGGTATGGTATCTTTTACATTAATATAACACTGATAATAAGAAGACTTACAGTAGAGTAGAGCTATGTTTATAAAAAGCCTTAGGAACTTTAGGAACTCATTGGTCTTAGGCCTCATTGAACTTATGCACTTCAGTAATAAAAATTTTTAAAAAAAGAATTGTGGATAATTTTGGCTGTGTTCACTAAAAAATACTGAGGTGCATTAGCTCAGATCAATGAGCCATAAACATTTTGAATCAATTCAAAAAAGAAAAAAACAAAACAAAAAACAACAACCTTTGACCGGGAGTATCATATAACAAGGTGGGAAAAAAAATTCACAGAAAAGTACAAGAATTATCAGCAAAGTCAGTAGATTTTAGTCCAGTACAATTACATTAGCATTTTCAGGAAAAGAAGAACCTTTCTGGGTCAAAATAACTGCATTACAACGTTTAAAAATTAGGCTAAGCGTTTTACTGCCTAGATAGCCAAGTTTTATTTAAAAGCCATTGGTGAATTACCGCTTTAATAATCACATATTAATTAGTTTGAATATGAGTTGTGTGAATGTTGATCTTCAGATTATTGTGGACAAGCCTGAGTCGGATCAGGAAGTTGTTAGCAGGAGGCTCCGATTTTGCAGCCGTCAACAGAACAGAAGCAAACTGCTCCAGACCTCATGCATTTCAGCAGAGGTGAGTCAATATTAGGGCTGCACGATAAATCACATGCGATATTTAACGCGCATCTTCTCAGTAAAGCCGGTTCTGTAATCAGCGGTAAATCTCCATCACCTGCAGGCTTTCACATGGAGCAGCATTAACTACACAGAGCCGTTCTTCACCGACAAGCTGCGCAAAATATGATCATGGTTTTGCACAGCTCGTCAGTGAAGAACGGCTCTGTGTAGTAAATGCTGCTCCATGTGAAAGCCTGCAGGTGATGGAGATTTACCGCTGATTACAGAACCGGCTTTACTGACAAGATGCGCGTTAAATTTCGCATGCGATTTATCGTGCAGCCCTAGTCAATATGTCATTCATGATCAGAATTAACTCCGTAAAGATTTGGGGTTGAAAACGGGCTAAGATTTTTGTCCACTTTGCTGGTCTATTTTTGTCTATTTTTCATTCATTTTGTGTGTCTTTGTCTTTGTGTTTTGTTTTGTTTTGTTTTATGTTTTTGAACTCGTCTTGAATATTTGTAATGTAATATTATTTATTAATATGTAATGGTTATTATTAGTAGTATGACAGATTTTTGTTGTACAATTTAATGTATTTTTTGAAAACAGTATATACACTACCGTTTTCTGCTCTTATGCTCACCAAGGATACATTTATTTGATCAGAAACAGTAAAACAGTTTTATTGTGAAATATTATCACAATTTAAAGAAACTGTTTTAATATATTTGAAATACTAATACTTCTATAAAATAGTACTAATACTATTTTGATATAAAATGTAATTACATTTTTAGCCATTATTTCTGTCTTCAGTGTCACATTTTCCTTTAAAAATCATTTGAATATGCTGATTTGCTACTCAAGAAACATTTCTTATTGTTATCAGTGTTGAAAAAATTTTTTCAGGATTCCTTTAAGAATAGAAATTTCAAAAGAATAGTGTTTAGAATAATCTGAACTTGAAAACGTTTGTAGCATTATAAATATCTGTAGTGTCACTTTAAAATAATCGTACTAATTTTGAACAGTAGTGAACATAAATGGAACGAAATAGCATTATATTTCCATAGTATTTTTTTATATTTATACATGATTTTGCAAGGTGATACGATTAAATCCTGGAGTCTTTATTTCTATTGAACATTGAGGATGCTGCTCGTACTGGCAAATGTGAAAATCAAGTGAAATCAGAGCAGTTTGCTTTAAAGCAAAGTAACTAAAAAGGACAAATAACTGTTTCTGTGTTGGCACAATGTATTTTCATTTTAATAGTCAAGTCACCTTTATTTATATAGTGATTTATGCAATACAGATTGTGTCAAAGCAGCTTTACAGTGTTAAACAGAAAAATAATGCGTCAATGCAAAACAAAATGTAATTCTGCTGTGAAGCACCTCTAAAAAGAGGACAATAGTAAACAGTAAATTTTTCAGTTAAAGTTTCATCGTTCATTCTAGGGCTGTGCAATTAATCGTCAGTAAAGCCGGTTCCGTGATTAGTAGTAAATCGGCATCACCTGCTTTCAGATGGAGCGGCATTTAATACACAGAGCCGTAGTTCACTGACAAGCAGATATTGCCTAATTGTCAGTGAACTATGGCTCTCCCTGCGTTCCATTCAGAAGGGCTCATCCAATGCCCTAATCCCTTCAAAGGGTTTACTCTCCAGAGTGAGAG